TTATTATTATTATTATCATTATTATTATTATTATTATTATTATTATTATGTACTTCTTTATGCTTTGTGTATTTGTTCATAATTGAATTCATGTATATATATATTTTATATATATATATATATATATGATGTTTTAGTAATATCAAACACACATCATGTGCACAAATTCACCACATGCGTCTTTAGATCTTATTTAACTTCAAAATAGAGATCCTACCAAAAAAAAAAACTTCAAAATAAAGACTGATTTACTCGACAAATTTCAAGCCAATGAGTAGAATCATCATAAAAGGCTTTCATTTAGAGTAACATTGAAAACTCTCCTCGCATCGCTCATTAAACTATCTAGTCAAAATATATCTAATTGTCTCAAATATGCAAACGATTGAATGTTCGCGAATCTTTTTCAACGAAGAGTTAATAGATTCAGCTAAGTTTGATATTACGATGTTGTACATGTTAGAAGGAGAATAAGCATATGACCATTTTCTAAAATCTGCTTCCCAAAGATCATTTGCAAGTTTCTGGTCACCATTGAAGCTTTGAGTGAATAAATAATCAATTTCTTGTGTTTTGGTAGCTCTTAAGATCTTGTAAACAAGTTAAAAAAGGGGAACACGTTCCAGGTCTTTTTTGCAAATGGAAAGTGAAAATTTTATGATAAGCATATCGATAATTTGTTGAGAGCATGGTTTCAATTGAAGAATCACGATCAGACACAAAAAAACTAAATCCGTTTTATCGGATTTGATCTTCTTCAAACATTGCAAAAATATACCAATCCCATGAGTCGTCATTCTCAGCTGAAGATTAACCTCCTGAGCTGATGTAGCAAATGAAATATTAGGTGAAAAAAATTGATTCTGCGTAACTAATCTTAAAATGAATGTAATAGTTGGTAAAATTACCTGAAAAATCCTCTAAAACTGATCCAATCGAAAATCATTTGGCCACTTTACTCACAATCATTTTGTTTTGACAATACATTAGTTTTTCTTTAATAAATTATTTTTATCATGATATTGCATGACCAAAAATATGTTAAATTTTTAAAATTAATCAACTAACCATTTTTTTTTCTTTGTACTGAACCACCACCTTATCCAACTTTGAAACTATTCTGACAGTATAACAAACCATAATTACAAAAGATTAATAATTGGCAACGGCTAACTATTTTTTCATTAGTTTATTGGTGATATATCAAATCCATGCAAATACCTCTCTCTATATATATATGCGTGTGTGATGGAAACTAAAATAAAATTAGTAATTTATTTGAGTTACATTAGACATTCATTCATCCTATAACAATTAAATAACATAAATTAAGTAAATTCATCCAAATAAAATAAAATTTGGTTTGCGTGAGTCAAAAAATGATTTAACTACTTTCTTAAAATATTATTTGTTAATTGTTAATTGTTAGGCATAACTCATTTTGATACATTTGATATCGATTTAACACCCATTATATATGTCTGAAATTTTTGTTCTCACCGACAAAATTGGCAAGCAATTTCCAGATAACATATATAGTTTGTTTGGACATAATACTATTACATAACTGACCCATCATGAAGTTTATATTAAGTTATAAGCCAACACATAAAAAAAAATACTATTCAGTCATATAATAAAATGACCTTTCGATTTTGGTTATAGCCTTATAGGTTATGAATGATTATAACTTTGATATTTAGCTCACTTAGTAACATCCAAAATATTAGGAGATGCACCCAAGCCAATCCCAAAGTTGCAGTTGGGATAAACTCTTTTAGTATCCATCTATTTGATGACATTTTACTTTCCGAGTGTTTTTGTATTGTTGGTTTTCTCAATTTAAACGCATTTAATATTTGGGAAATTTCCAACAAAAATTCAATTAGCTTTGATTTTCCAGTCTTCGAAAACTGTTAATATCAACCAAAATTTTAATGATAGTCAGTTATTGATTTTTTTTTTAATCAGTTAAAAATACAGTATTTTGGCTCAAATATAATCGTAAAATATAATCGCAACGATCTTTATAAAAAAAAATGGTATTACCTTTTTATTTTTGTTTTCTTTGTTAAAGCTTTTCAAAAATTTTATATCAACCAAAAATTCAATGTAGTTAAGTTCTTGATTCAATTTTTCTTGTCAGTTAAAATACAGTACTACAGCTAAAATATAATCGTAAAAAAATATAATCGCAACCATCTTTAAAAAAAAAATGGTACTACTTTTTTTTCAAAAGTCAGAAATGATTTTTTTTTGTTTTTTTTTTTGGAATATTGAACAAAGACAGAAATGAATTTTCCTTGACCATGTCTCAATTCAGAATTTCAGATAATGCAAATATTGACCTCGTATAACGTTCATGCATTGCCACGAAAACATAAATATTATCTCACCGTCCAAGTATATATGAACAGCTTGAGCATTCTTGTTATAGATAATGTTGTTTTCTTGGCCGGACAAGCTAAGTAAGACTAGTTTTTTCACCAGTGGAAGTTGTTGAAGGTCATGACCACGTAGGTAAGAATATGATACTATACAATATATCATCCAAACCACAAACAAAAACACTTTTAATCATTAACCCATACTTCACCCTGGGGACAAGACAGCTAATCGTGCATCATTAAAACGGTATCGTATCTTCTTACAGCCGCCTCTAATCATCCACCACTTTGTAGGCCAGTCCTAGTTAGGTGTGACCAAAACAAAACAAATTAGGCCAGTCCTAATTTGTAAGATCAAAAGAAATCTTATAGTTGAATTTTCTGATGGGAAAATAAGTAGATGAGTAATGTGTTACACGAAAAAAATTTAGGTTCCAAACTTCGAACGTGCAATGATTTTATAAAATACATAATATGCAAGATTTTTCGTATTAACGTAAGAACAACGAAATCGTCATCGCGTTAATCTAACCTTTTCCATCATGTTGTTTGGTTGAGTGGATGGATCGCGATTTTGATTTCATATTTTGACGTTTTTTTTGCCATGAAACCATTTATATATAGTTACGTAATCTTTTATCTATTATAAACCTTAACTGTTTTGAATTTTAGCAAAATATTTATATTCTTAGAAAAAAGGAAAAAAATGTTGTGTACTATACTTACAAAACCAATTTTGACATAGTCGCTTTTCATCTCTTTTGACCTAATCTATTTCTCATCAATTTGTTTTTTCTGACATCTTCTTCATACATGCAGAAGAAAGTTGTACATGCATGCATTACAACAATACGCATGATGCAAAAGCACATTGACAAATTTTTTTATTAATGATTGTTTACTTGTGGAGTTTTTGGTTTTACATATTTATATGAACCTGATCTTCTTCCAAGCTTTTGATCATACATTTCTTATTTTACGAATTTGGTTTAGCAACCAAAAGTTCTGTCTCACATCTAAGTTTGTTCAAGACACCTACAACTTGTTTGATTATCGTACCACCTTAGCTGTTTTAGCAAATTATAAGAGAACACACAGACATTGTTGCATATATATATAAACTAAGACTTATAGACACTAGCTAGAACCAAATAATCACATACATATATTGAGCTTGACTGGTAATACCAGATTAACAATGAACAACGGAGTAATTACTATAAATAGTAAGAGGAATCAATAAATCCACAAAATCCTTAATCTGAAAATAGATTTTCTTTTATCATAGAAAAGCTAAAAAACAACTTTTTAGTAGACGAACGAAATTTCTTTAATTTTAGATATAATTTTAAAACGCTAATGATAAATTAAAATTTTTAC